TATTTGCCGGACGTTTTCACCACATTGGAGTATCTATTTTGGTATAGACCAGCGTAGTGTTTTCAGATGAACAATTTTTATATTTGTTCTCCTGGTCCACTCCAGGAAGAGAGAGTGGCGATCTCGTTTTCTGTAAGAGGATTTTTTAAACTAACGCTCTTAGAGCTAAATCGAGCGCTGCCTTTCTTTAACTTGCGCCTATTTCGACATCATTCGTCCGACAAAATTGTTACCAAATCTACCACAGACAAAGGTTGGTACTGTACGCGTGCTTAAAATATTACGGGCTTTTAAGAATAGCGATAATCTTGACACCATTGGAAGCATTGAAACATGAAACGCAGTGAGATATGATTTGATCCTGTTGTTAGTATTCCTGGATCCATCAAGGTCAGTTTGGCAAGAGTTAGCTCCCAGCTGCGTTTAATGTCTTTATGTCTTTAGCAAAGCGTATCTTAGCAAGGGATGCATGATCGTTTGAGAAGAGGCGCAGCTTTTCATCTGCTTTCTCTAACTGCACACTCTCGGATCCCAAAATGAGGAGAAATTGACTGACAAAGCCTCATAAGGTCTGCCACATTAACAAAATTCTCAAAATCGTGCCTAAATAAGATGTTGTTTAACGCCTCGTTTCGATCCACTTAACACGTATTGTCACAACGAACGTTTTACTCTACTTCCTCCCATCATGACATCAGCATAGTTCTCAGGCTGGTGGATTTGACCCAACTTAGAGCGATGTGAGATTTACCAAGCAAAAATGGGGTGGAGTCTAAAAAAGTTAAAAGCCAACTAAAGTGAAATCTAGAACATTCCAATAGAATACCATTGAAATATTTCGCTTTGCTGAATCTACCAACCTACTGTTGCGTACTGCAAAAGTAGCTGATATATGTCATAATACTGCGTTTATTATTTGAACTCACCCGTTCCACGACACAACGGAGGTATAGAAAGCGTATAAAGACCCTTATGCGATAATCATTCACCTACATGATCCACACAAACTCACAATCTAACCAAACGCACTTCAAAACTTTTATAATGCATTATGTGTGTCAGCAGCCCCACAGGTCAACTCCCGCTGCCTCATCTCGCGGCCATGTGGCCGAAGCCCGGTTGGTTTTGCGTCGCCGGCTCGGTGGCGCCACCTACCCCGGACGCGTCGGCAGCGGCGGCGGCTGCTGCATCGATCGCCGCTGGTCTCCGGGTCTGCTCTGCGGCCCAGCTGACACCCGCCGACCGAGCGCGCACGCACGCCCCCCTCGGACGCAGGCAGCTCTGCCCCACAGCGCCCCGGCCGCTCGCGGGACGGACGCCGCCCTCTCAGCCGCGGGCACGGAGCGGCCGACAGGTGAGGAGACGTGGGGCCGTCCCCGCCGTGTCGGGCCGCCGCTGACCGGCCGACGGCGGTGGCCGATGACCTAGTGACGCCCTCGGCCGCCGGCCAGCCACCCGGGCGTGAGGCGCGCTCATTCAGCCAAGCGCCTGTCGTGGTGAAGGTGTGGTGCCGGGAAAACGCGTGCCATCTGAACTGAGCCGCGCTGTGTGCCGCAGTCCAGGTTTCCCTTTGCACGCATGGAACAGCCATCTCACAATGAGGCGTGGTACAAGGGCGTCGCGAAATGATAGGCATAAGCTGTTGCTGTGACCACACCAGCGCTCGCGAAACTTGGCATAAGTTCAGCAGGCCTCCCTTGAAAAGTAATGGCCACAGTGTTCCTGATAAAACTTTGAAAACATCACCCATCCGTGCATGTGTAAATGCTTTGCATGCTGTGACCATCGGCGTAAAGTTTTCGGTACTTCAAGAGGGAGGGTAACTACCTTGAAAAGCGCCTGACACGGCCACTCGCTTGCTCTCCTTCACTAAGAAAGTGAAACGCAGTTCAATATCCGTACCTTTAGTCCTGTCCTGGGCAACACGATTTCCAGTGGGGGAGGGAACGTACTAAACGCATAACATCGCATTTCAATCTTCTGGGTTAGCTGGGTGTGGAAAAGAGTGTGAGACGTGCTGTTTGTGCCATATACTTCTTTACCACCTCAGGTATTCATCACGTGATACCGTGCCTCCTTGAACGGGTGAGTGTCGATCCATAGACTTAAAAGCAGAAAGGAAGGGGGGGGGAAGCCTGCCCACTTTTGTGACAATTTAACATCAAACCGATAATACATGGAAAAAGTTCACCTCAAAGAGGGTCTGGCTTCACATCATGTACAGTTTTAGCGTCACATGTGTTTCGTACTGTCAACACGATTTGTAAAATCGTTCTAGTGTTAGTGGCCTGTGACCCTCGTGGTGTATGTCCCTAGGCATCAACCTCGACTCGCACATGACAGGCAACAGCTTCGACCATGGAACGATCGAGGCATGCTTCATGACTGTGGGTTCGATACCCCGTGCAGGCGGAACTTTTCGACTTCACAGGAAAGGGCCGCACTGCACGGGTTGCGGGTGGTGTCGTGCGACGTTTAGATGCCAAAGACATCCCAGAATTTGCTGTCTCTGTGCAGATGGCAAAAACATCATTTAAAATTGCACCATTCGGATGTGCCACGTGGTTAGAGTCCATGATACAAACTCACTTGGCTACATCTCCGATTTCTTACTCAGTTTCCCAGGTGGCCTTCGGGACCCGACACCACATGTCTGCCACACCATGGGCTGACGATTCCTGCCCTTTTAACCGAGCTAGAAGGGTGACATCTGTATCAGGTCTGTCAGTCCTTTCCTTGTCACGGAAGCCTGAATCAGACTTAGTATTTGTCAGCCCTTTGGCGAAATTCGCATTGGGTGCACGGCTTGGGGTTATGGCTGCGCAGATTCATGTTATGCATAGTTACAATATCTGTGTCTTTAGTTACAATTTTAATCTTGACTTAAACTCCGGGCCGATACCATGGAAACAAAACAAATGATAATTGCGCTGCCACAGCAAAAAGGATAGAAGGCTCTCAACGCAGTAGAAATGGTTTGGAGACGGGGGAAGGGCAGAATTATTGGGGCAGAGCGTGACACGACAGCTGCTGCCAAGTCGACTGAGAAAGCCAGTCAGTAGCATCGACAGCGAAAACTAAACATCAGTCTTCGCCGTCAGCCGCAGACTTCACCGTCAGCCGTAGACTTCACCGTCAGCCGCAGACTTTACTGTAAGCGGCAGACTTCACCGTCAGACGCAGACTTCACCGCCAGCCACAGACTTCACTGTAAGCGGCAGACTTCCCTGTCAGAGGCAGACTTCCCTGCCAGCCACAGACTTCACCGTCAGCCGCAGACTTCACCGTTAGCCGCAGTCTTCACCGTCAACCACAGACTTCCCCGTCAGCCGCAGACTTCACCGTCAGCCACAGACTTCACCGTTAGCCACGGACTTCACCGTTAGCCGCAGACTTCACCGTCAGCCGTAGACTTCCCCGTCAGCCGCAGACTTCACCGTCAGCCGCAGACTTCACTTTAAGCGGCAAACTTCCCTGTCAGAGGTAGACTTCCCTGTCAGCCGCATACTTCCCTGTCAGCCACAGACTTCACCGTCAGCCACAGACTTCACCGTTAGCCGCAGACTTCACCGTCAGCCACAAATTTCACCATCAGCCGCAGACTTCACCGTTAGCCGCAGACTTCACCGTCAGCCACATACTTCACCGTCAGCCACAGACTTCACCGTCAGCCACAGACTTCATCATCAGCCGTAGACTTCACCGTTAGCCGCAGACTTCACCGTCAGCCGCAGACTTCACTGTAAGCGGCAAGCTTCCCTGCCAGCCGCATACTTCACCGTTAACCGCAGTCTTCACCGTCAGCCGCAGACTTCACCATCAGCCACAGACTTCACTGTCAGCCGTAGGCTCTAACGCAAAGGGCCATCTATTTATTCGAACGCTTGAATTTTTTCCCACATCGAAACAGCAACGCACATCAATATCATCGAGAGTGCTTCACCGGAAATGAAGCATGGCGACCGGCTGACAGTTGGATGTGATGTCCAGGTGACAGCCAGGGGTCCTGTCCATCTGACAGTGAAGGATGGCATACTCGACGCTATGACGTGGTGTTCGCCTGATGACACTGCGTGTGCGGTATCTCCTGGCGCCCAGCAGCGGTCACCCGATGTTCTGATGTCCGTCGGTGTTTGGTAATGCTCTCCTGATGACAGTGCCTGTGCGGTATATGGCGCCCAGCAGCGGTCACCTGATGTCCGCCTGCTAGTAGGAGTGTACGGTGATGCTCTCCTGATGACAGTGCCTGTGCGGTATCTCCTGGCGCCCAGCAGCGGTCACCTGATGTTCTGATGTCAGTCGGTGTGTGTGGTAATGCTCACCTGATGACAGTGTCTGTGCGGTATATGGCGCCCAGCAGCGGTCACCTGATGTCCGCCTGCTAGTAGGAGTGTGCGGTAATGCTCTCCTGGTGACAGTGTCTGTGCGGTATCTCCTAGCGCCCAGCAGCGGTCACCTGATGTTCTGATGTCAGCCGGTGTGTGTGGTAATGCTCTCCTGATGACAGTGTCTGTGCGGTATATGGCGCCCAGCAGCGGTCACCTGATGTTCTGATGTCAGCCGGTGTGTGTGGTAATGCTCTCCTGATGACAGTGCCTGTGCGGTATCTCTTGGCGCCCAGCAACGGTCACCTGATGTTCTGATGTCAGCCGGTGTGTGCGGTAATGCTCACCTGATGACAGTGTCTGTGCGGTATCCGCTGACACTCAGCAGCGGTCACCTGATGTTCTGATGTCAGCCGGTGTGTGCGGTAATGCTCTCCTGATAACAGTGTCTGTGCGGTATCCGCTGACACTCAGCAGCGGTCACCTGATGCCCGCCTGTCAGTCGGTGCGTGTCGTCCCGATGGTGAAGTCGGGTCAGATTGCCAGTAAACTACAGGTCGCTGTCGACAGATGGACATCAGCTCGGTGGTGCCGGTCGGCCGCCCGCTCGGCGACCTCGGCCGCCCCGGAGGGCCGGGGCCGGGCCGGCCGGCAGCCCCGGCCCCCTCCGGTCCCGCGCCGGCCTCCAGGGGTGTCACCGTGCTGGTCCAGATGCTGGACGACTCGCTGGTGCCCTTCAACATCCAGGTATGTCCGGTGGGTCCAGGCCCGTGTCCAGATGTCCGTACTTGTTCCTCACGCAGCTACACAGCTTCCGTCTGTTTGTAAGTGGAGATGGGGCCCACTCGGCGAGCGCGATCCGTCTGCATTTCTGCCGGAGACGGCAGAAACTTTTCTGGGTCGGAGAGACATGGGAAAAGGAGGTAATATAATGGTGGCAGCGCGACAAATGGACGATGATCGCAATGACATATCATTTCCTTTCATATCTATATCCTTTCAGCATGAGTGGAAATTTTTTTAGCTTAAAATGAACACAAATCTTGTTGTTACGAGCCATTCTTGTGCTAAGTTACGCTAAGCTAAGTTGACCTTCAACATACCAGCTGGCATTGGATGAACAACGTTGTTGTGGAAACATTGGTTCCATTGACAGTGCTGGACGTTTCGGGCCCATACAGCCCGCTGACGCAGCTCCCTAAATAGCCACATTTTGTCGCGTCGCTTTTGTCTGAACGCGATGACAACGTGACCTAAATGGGGCAAATCGGAAGTTGGGAGTGGGCTAGGTAAATCCACTTTTGGAAATGTCCATATCGTTGGGATCATCCCGGGTACGGATTCCTTGAGCCTTGAAAGTTATCTGCTTGAATTTTCAGATCGACATGGATTTTTACGGGTCTCTTCCACAGCTTCCATGTGCTCCGAGCCGTGCCCGCCTCTAGGCATTTTGGACGCAGCGTTGGTCGTAAGGACCCCAAGAATCTTGCGCGTGACACCTGCCCATCTGGCCATTGATACTGCCTGGGAGATGCGTCAAAATTCTTCGATTTATCCTGACAATCTCACATTTTTACCCAGGAAACGACTTTGCCTTATCCGTGTCCCATAGCCGCCCTTGCCTTCCTCGCTGTCACGAGAAACTGAACAGCATCAGCAGGCCATACCTGTCAAGGGCAAATAGCGAGCGCCCTAAAGCGACTCGCACCCACCATGCCTCGGGTGGGTGCATCGGAAGGCAGGCGCTCTAACCAACTGAGCCACCGGGACGGACTTTTGACGAGACAAGCATTTTGAGCCAATGCTTGCTCTGGCATTCTCCACATCGCCCCTGGCCTCCTGGCTTGCTCTCACAGCCATGCTGCCCTCTACGGATACTTCGATTCGCTCTGATCTCCTTGGATCTCTTGAAAACTTGTGACCTTGCTGCTGGCCGTCTCTGCCTGGGGGCCCTTGAACGTGTGGGGACCCAATCTTCTCAGCGATCGTAGCAGCCTCTAGGCTCTGATTTTCTTCGGACATTTTTGTTAATCTCTGGCAAATGGCCTCGCCCCGAGTCTATTGATATGTGGGCAACACATTCTGCAAGGCTGTGTGGACGACCAAGATGGAAGATTATTGTAGGAAATATTGCGTCACGCAATTAAGTGAGGTGTGATTGGGCACGCTATTTTGGAGATGCCTTAGATGACATTGGAAATGATGCTCAAGCCACATGAAAATAGTGAGTTCACAGACACAGCGTGTGAATCGTGGCGGTCTTGGTTGGATAAACGCATTCTTGCCAGCTAGCGCTCGGGTGCAAAAAGGAAGACAACTGCGATCCTGCCGCAGACTTTTGCTTCTCCTGCTGTCCCAGGGCATGAGCCCTCCATCACGAATACGGCAACTGCTGCACTGTCGCAAATCTTTGAATCTGTTAAGTTTCAGCCGAATCTCAGCGTCACAACGCTGTCTGCTGGTGGGTTTCTCGGTCCGACCGCATGGGAACGCTATCTGTCTAAATAGGCATCTGTGTAGATTTTAACGAAAAGAAGCCTAAGCGATTTAAAAACGTCATGTGTCTAAATCACCTTGAGGGTGGTGCTGCTCCATCTTCTCCCTATATCAGTCGCCTTGGCTATCTACCACAAGGCATTGCTGAAGCTCTCTTTGCAATTAGGGAGAGGCAGGACAAGGATACAACTTTCCGCCAGCGCCCGGGTCGTGCAGTTAGCCACCTCGACCCTCGACTTCCTGCAAGAGGCTATTCAGACTTCCGGAATAGTTTCCACCACGCATAGGTAATGTTCGCCGGGCCATCCAACTATTTCAAACAGTTAACCCAAGATCGAAGGTGCCTCCGCGGAATGTGTGACTCGCCGCCTTCGTGTCTGCACCCAGGGCACCGCTAATTCCTTATGTGTGACCGTGCCACATGTAAACATCGCTGCGGTATCTTGGCTGCCTTGTGTTGTGTGCAACTAAGCGCGTTGAAGGAAAATGATGCGAACTCGGTACCTGTACACGCTGCAGGATGGGGCATGTTGGGCTCGAAGCACGGCCCAACATGCTATCTTTTCATCACATGCTATTTCGGTACGCCATGAACTGGCATGAAGCCCCCGCGCACATACTTTTTTCACGCAGGCGTTGCGGCATCCGAGCTGATTTTTCTCACCATTCTCAACTCTCCCACCTCCCCACACATGACCTGGCACGACATCAAGGGGGCGCTGAAGACACTAGCTTTGGAAAAGTGCGAAAAAACGCTCTGGGGTGTGTGAAGGATGTTGTATTTGCGTCTGTGATGTGCTTGAATCAGATAGGCAAAGTTTAAATACTACTGTGAGACGGTAGGTGCGTAGCGCATTAGTGCCAGCCGTATTAAAGCGGTACTTAGGGTCACCGTGCCAGCACTGTGGCCGGCGGCAGGAAATACTGGCATGCAGCGTTGCCGCTGTACATATTCTTTCAGGGACAGGCTGAGGTACTTTCCCAATACTGATTTAATCCTCCTCCCCCCCCCCCCCCAATGCCACGCCGAGCCTCCGCAACGCACGTGAGCAAAAATGGAATACTAGGGCAAAGGAATCCACGTATATTTCTTTCCTTCTTTCTTCCCCGATTTTCCCTCCGGCGGCGTGTCGTTCGCTGCATCAACTCACGAGCATCAAGCTCAGAAAGAAGATGATTTGAAACCTTGAAAAGAATATGACTTTGAGTCGTATTCTTTTCAAGAACATGGCCCAAATATGGCCATGGTCATGAAAATAACTATCTCAGTTCAAAACACTGTACAGCTGTGGACCAGTCTCTTGACATACCGAAATACTCGGCACAGTCCATGCTGTCCTCCGCCGTTACCTGGCCTTTAGCGCGGCCGCTACCACCGGTCGCAGGCTATCCCAGTCGGGAAAAAACAGCGGGCGCCTGAAGCGATTCGAACCCAGCCTGCCACGCGTCTGTGAGTCTGAAGGCAGGCGCGGTTACCAGCCGAGGTCTCGGAACGGACGAAAGTGCAGTCACGGTATGAGGCGATTTAGGGTGCAGTTCGGCGGCGCGTCCTCCATCTAAATGCACCACGAAAAGGGAGGGGAGAAAGGGAGTTAACACATTTTGTGTGGTATGTTCCAGAGGAAATGTTGGGAGCAGTGTCAATGAACTTTTGCGAAGGAACCTAGCAGTGAACACTGTTTTGAAGCGTCGAGTTTTTACAATATATCAATATTTTCTATGATAATGTCGTTTAACTTCCTTCCCCTAACATACTGAAAGAATGCTATTTTCAACATGAAAGTCTCAACATGCATTCCAACAACACAGATTCCAGGCCATTCTTGCTAATATAAACTTCCAACACGTGTCAGTGTGGATCACGCTACTTTTAACACGGCTACTCTGGAGAGCCATGCGGTTGCCAGTCTTAACTGCTCTGTTCCTCCTGTGATCTATAGCCCGGGGCGAGTGACACGCACTGGTGGTCTGCGGGTACTTGTATTAAAGCCGCCCGCTACCAGAACCGGATCGCGTCTCGCCCTGCTACGCAGGCCAGGGACTGGAGACCAACAACTAAAGATACTAGGGCAGAAACTAAATTACAAAATATTTCAACAATGACATGGATCCGTGTTACTTTACAAATAAGTCAGACCAAACTGATAACATGCGAAGAAATTAACCGTAGGTAAACAGCTTACACTCAAAATTAAGTATAACAGCGATAGACCATCACTATAACATAACACCAGACGACATATTGACCTGTCTGGTGAGCAGGTCGTGCAAGGTAAGTTTAATTTCTGTATATAGGTTTACTGTGAATGTGCTTGAGAATTGGTCAAGGCTCTCGTTGGTTTGTGTCAGGCAACACCATCCTGCACAAAACCGTCTCTTTTGCGCCTCTCGCTAACTTTGATGAACGATGAACGACGAGGATCTTCGTCGTTTACGAAGTTTCAAATAGCTGAGATGTTATTTTGTGTTAAAAACACCCTATTCCAAGCTTTTTACAAAAATGCAGCTTCACATGACTTTGGCAACGGAAGACGTCTATCCAGCAGAGTCCTCCCTAGGAAAAAATCAACAAAAAATCAAAGAATCGACGAAATTTTGTCTCGAGTTTTCTTGGCAACGGGATGCAAATCGAGGCAGCTGAAAAACGTGAAGATATCAGGTTTTGGGGGCATCTTAGGTAAATCTTATCGGCTCAGCCCACCCCCAACCGATTTTAGGAAGTGACTTCCCTGGTGGCATGCTTTGAATACATACACAAGAGCCGCTGTTGCTCCCAGCAAACGATACCTTGCTGCCGCGAGGGTCCAGTGAAGGCTCTGACGATAGCTGCTGCACGGCTCCCCGCCTCGGGCGCACAGTAGTCTGCTGATGGGCGCTGCAGTGGTCTGACGTCACTGGTCTGCCTCGCTGACAGACCGCGTCCGAGTCCAGTCGAGCACCGTTCCACGGAAGGGAACGCACAGTAGTCTGCTGATGGGTGCTGCAGGTGGTCTGGCGTCACTGGTCCGCCTCGCTGACAGACCGCGTCCGAGTCCAGTCGAGCACCGTTCCACGGAAGGGAACGCACAGTAGTCTGCTGATGGGCGCTGCAGTGGTCTGGCAGACCGCGCCGCCTCGCTGTCAGACCGCGTCCGAGTCCAGTCGAGCACCGTTCCACGGAAGGGAACGCCACGTACATCGTCACGCACCCCTTTTATGGAGATGCCGGGGCCGTCGTAATCCGTGACGTTCAGGCTTCACGCCAGGGCTGGGTGTCCGCGGTCCCATCCATCGAACTGTGACACCACCGCAGTACGGAGCGCGCGCGCCGATGCTGCGCACGTCTCCTGATATCTTACTTATCGGAGCTGTATTGAGCGCGGGATGCGGTGCAGCGCGCGCCCAGTCCGGCGCGCCGTGCACGAGGGGTCCAGTGGCCTGCCAGGGTAGCTGTGACACGGCCAGCGGTGACCTGGCGCGGCCGGCCCTGGTCCGCACCGAGCCCAGGTCGGGCCGAGACGCTGGAAGCGCGCCAACGCTAGCCAAACGATGCCGGCTCCGATCCGATGCCTAATGGCTTATGTATCTGGGCTGGTGCCGGCACTGGACCGACGCCGGAGTTTTTTTATTTTCACATCTCTGTTTTCATATGTGAAATGCTTTGCCAACTGTGTCCGCCTTGTTATCTGAAGATACGTCTTGTCCTGCAGTCAGGCTGCGTGCATGTCTCATACTTTGTGCGGTTTGGTGCAATGACATGTCCTTTGAACCTGCCTGGACACGGTTACCAAGGAAGTGACGTAGACTATGTAATTTGTTTCAGCTGAAATGGCCAGCTAAGGTGTTGTTTGACATGGTCTGTAAGCATCTTGGCCTTCTGGAGTCCGACTACTTTGGACTGGAGTACTGCGACAGCGAAGGAGTCAAGGTTGGTCATTGAGACCGCATCCCTCTAAATATATCTATCTCTCCGCTTGTCCCCCATGCCACACCCCACCCCTCACACATCCATCTTCGTCCTTCTCTCTCTCTCTCTCTCTCTCTCTCTCTCTCTCTCTCTCTCTCTCTCTCTCTCTCTCTCTCTCTCTCTCTCTCTCTCTCTCTCTCTCTCTCTCTCTCTCTCTCTCTCTCTCTCTCTCTCTCTCTCTCTCTCTCTCTCTCTCTCTCTCTCTCTCTCTCTCTCTCTCTCTCTCTCTCTCCCTCTCCTCTCTCTCTCTCTCTCTCTCTCTCTCTCTCTCTCTCTCTCTCTTTCTCTCTCTCTCTCCCTCTCTCTCTCTCTCTCTTCCCCCTCTCTCTCTCTGTCAACATTTCTGTTTTTTCTCTACTCCGTCCCCGCCTTACCTCCATTTACCCCATCTGCCTCTTCGCCACCTGTCCCTGGCCTGTCGGCCTCCCCTCCGTATCCGCTGCCATCCCCCTTTCTCTTGCTTTCTTTTTCCCTCCCATTTTCTCTCGCTCTCAATGCCTCCCAATTAGGCATCATTTGTGCGTAAATACTGTGACAGAGATGCCAATGACACGCATCTGTCCACGCATGGATCAATTCGCTACAACTTGAACTGCATCCTTGCTCGGAAACAGGTAATGCTGGTGATTTAGACCGTGGCGGAGTCTGCCCCCTGACGCATCCGAACGCGGCAGCGACTTCTGCCGCGGTCTGTGACGGTGGTCCGCCTCTCCTCGCGACCTGCTGTGATCTGAGACGGTGGTCCGCCTCTTCTCGCGACCTGCTGTGATCTGTCCGCCTCTCCTTACGACCTGCCGTGATCTGTGACGGTGGTCCGCCTCTTCTCGCGACCTGCTGGGATCTGTCCGCCTCTCCTTACGACCTGCCGTGATCTGTGACGGTGGTCCGCCTCTCCTCGTGACCTGCTGTGATCTGTGACGGTGGTCCGCCTCTCCTCGCGACCTGCTGGGACCTGTCCGCCTCTACTTACGACCTGCCGTGATCTGTGACGGTGGTCCGCCTGTCCTCGCGACCTGCTGTGATTTGTGACGGTAGTCCGCCTCTCCTCGCGACCTGCTGTGATTTGTGACGGTGGTCCGCCTCTGCTCGCGACCTGCTTTGATCTGTGACTCAGATGGGTGCCTCCCACCCCATGTAACTCTTGCCATGGTCCCTGTCAGATCCCTGCCGGATGTACCCATGGTCCATGATGCAACGCCATGCCATGTCATGCCATGCCGGCATGGACCATGAGCGGTCACTGTTCTGACTTGCATCCAAGTGAGCCTGGAGAGTATTAAAGAAACATTGGTTCCAGTAAGGCCACCGTTATGCATCGAAATGCCATCAATAGTGCCACTTTGTCTTTTTTCAATGTATTCCTTTTGAGAGCGGTTGGTAAAACCAACATGCCAAGCAACATTATTAACAAGCGAGAAACATTATTTAGCTAATATTCTCTGCGATAAAAGTACATTTTCGAGTAGCTTATTATTATAAATTGGTGTAATAAATGTGCAGCAATAAAGCCATTAATGTCATTTTGTATGATATGGTCCTTGAACTGTAGCTGCGGTGTTACCTGATCTGTATCATCAGTGTGACCTGATGTGTGGCTGGTCTAAGCCGCGTAGTTTGCGACCTGGCCCGTACCATCTGTGTGTCCGGATTGTACCATGTGTGTCTTGATCTGTACCGCCAGTGTGTCCTGCCCTGCACCGCCAGTGTATCCTGACCTGTATTGTCCGTGTGTCCTGACTCGTACCGCCAGTGTGTCCTGACCTGTACCATCTGTGTGGCCTGACATGTACCATCAGAGTGGCCTGACCTGCACCGTCAGTGTGACCTGACCCGTGCCACAGGTCTGGCTGGACATGGAGCGCTCCATGAGCCGGCAGCCGGACCTCAGCTCGCGCGACCTGGTGCTCTGGCTATGCGTCAAGTTCTACACGCCCGACCCGGCCAAGCTGGAGGACGAGCTGACGCGCTACCTGTTCTCGCTACAAATCCGGCGAGACCTGGCGCAGGGCCAGCTCAGGTGCAACAGCAAGACCACCGCCGTGTTGGCCAGCTACATCATACAGTGTGAGCACCCCGGGCGGCCCCGCTGCGCTGCTCCCAGCCACAGTCAGAGCTGACCACGACCCCAGGGGTGGGTCGAACACGAGGGTGGAGTCAGCAGCTGCTGCAAGGGCTGCGCTGGCGCCGACTGATCCTCCGACGGTGGTGCCCTGCCGCGCGTTGCCGCGGCGCCGGTCCGCCCTTGGGTCATCTTTACCGCGCATCGTGGTCTCCGCTCGTTACCCGCCTCTTTGGCCGGCTCCAAAATTCCGCGCCTGCTGGCGCCTCCTTTGCTGGAGGACGCCGACGATACGCGGCCCCTGGCCAGCGTCCCGACCAGCGGCGAGGGGGGCAGACAGCGGTGAGGTGGTGGGATGGTGGGGTGGTAGACATTCACGCAGCTGATCATTGCTGGCCCAGGACAGTTCTGGATGTGTACCTGGGCAGGGACTGCGTCGTTTTCGCCGCGTCCAGCGTATGACACTTCGCATTGGACGTTTAGGCAACTAAGTTACAATGTTATATAAGTGGCAATATTTTCTTGACCATGAGCCAATGAGGCTGGCTGTTGGCGTGACGTTTCTATGACGTCGTGCAAGTCTGGAGGACTTCCCCATGGGCGAGGCGCCATAGGCTGTGTAATATCCACGTGCATCGAGCTCAAAAACAAGGTAATCTGGGGTCTTAAAGAGGAGATGGCTAAATTTGCAGGGAATGATAATGAAAATGGCTATCCCAGTTTCAAAACCGGCACAAAGTAGATCGCATTCATTTGAGATTGATGTCATTGATGCAGGATGACTTAAATTACACGTCAGGACCACGACGTCAACGTAATTCGTTTTCCGCTACTTGGCGCCACCTATGAGCGGACTTGGCGCTTACTAGCAAGATGGATGCCGCCGGGGCCTTGGCGCCACCCTTGGTGCTAATGCGCTGTCGGGTGTGTCGAGACGGCACGAGCTGATGTTACGTAACGACCATCACTTCGTCACGAGAAGTTATACGCAAAACAAGACCAACACGCGCAATAATTACGCCAGGGAAAATCCTGGCGTGATGGCGTCAGAGTAATATTTAGAAATGTTTTATTCAGGTGCTACCCAAACATCTAGGGCGGTGTCCAACGCCCCTAATGAGCTGTCCGTGAGCCGTACAAAAAGAGCCCATGTGGGATCGTGCGTACGTTATCAGGCATCTGCAATGCTTATTTCATATAACTAGGCCCAACATGACTTCTCACAGGTGATGTCTTCTGTGCAGGTCGCCGCCCAGTGCTCCGCTTCCGACTATATGCTTTACAGATTTCCTTCAGGTCTGCCCGAGGGTAGACAGATTGATGAGAAGACCGCAGCAGCTTTCGGCCCACAGTTCGTCTCCTGGCGCGCTGCCCTCAGCTGCGCCTCAGTCCTGACCGCGCCGTGTCCGGCCGCCGTCGCCCCCGCCACTCACGTGCGTCCCTGCCGGCAGCCGAGCACGGCGACTACGAGCCGGCCGAACGGCCCGGCTGGTACCGCGTGCTGCCCGGCCAGGACGCCGAGCTGGAGCGGCGCATCGTGGAGTCGCACCGGCGCCTCGCTGGCCAGCCGCCCAGCGAGGCGGAGCTCAACCTGCTGGAGACGGCGCGCCGCTGCGAGCTCTACGGCATGAAGATGCACCCGGCCAAGGTCCGGGGCGGGGCGGCTGCTGGAGGGGCGGGGGGGGGGGAGCCGGGCGAGGGTGGGGGCTGGTGTGGGAGCTGAGCTGATGCTGAAGAGTCGTGAAAGGCGCCGGACTGCTACCAACGAGGGGTAACAATGCAGCCGGGCGCCCTCTGTCTTGCTATTTAACAACCGCGACAGCGTGCAGTGTTAACGTCCGCCGATGGTTTCAGGATCACGAGGGAGTGCCGCTTAACCTGACCGTGGCCCACATGGGTATAGTAGTGTTCCAGCACCTGTGCCGAATCAACACATTCTCCTGGGGAAAAATCAGGAAGATATCCTTCAAGCGACGTCGATTTCTCGTCAAGCTGCATCCGGATGGCGCGGTGAGAACAGTTACACGTTTCCAAAGCTGCCTCCGAATAAGACACGTGCATATGTCTGACTTGTCTTCTAACTTGTCTTCTTCATGCACGGCTGACGTCCTCAGCCAGCAGACGCCCATGCGATTGCCTCGCCATTAAGCGTGACGCATGACTAGTCCCAGCTATCGGGTTCCAGAGATATTACAAAGACACGGTGGAGTTCTTCTTCGAGAGCCGCAATCACTGTAAGAACTTTTGGAAGAAGTGTGTGGAGCACCACGGCTTCTTCCGCTGTCTGGAGGCCCGCCAGGGCGGCCGCTCCAGACCCAGCGTCATTCCCAAGGGCAGCTCCTTCAGGTCAGAACTTCTGGACGTCACCTCAGTGCACTGGTCCATTACGGGCACTGGTGATGCAGCTGTGCAAGCGGACTGCGGTGGTGGAAGCTCAAGCTTCGCGCTGCTGCATAACATGACGCGCGGTGTGTGCTGCTACTGGTGTTTGACCTTGATGTGAAAGTAAACGCTTAACGTAAGCCTCAGTCCGCCCCCAAAAGTCATATGACCTGTCCAGTCTACGTGAAAAGCTATGACTATCATCGATGTAATGACTACCAAGCGTCAGCTCCAGGAACACCGTTTTGCAGGTTTACTGGACGAACGCAGAAGCAGGTTGCTGAGTTCGCGAGGGAAAGTTTTTCCAAACAGCATGTTTTTAATAGGTAAAGTGCGATGCCTTTCAGAACACAGTGCCTTTGAGTTTTGGCAGCCCGTGAAATACCAGATATTCTGCCTGCTCTGATGTTTTTTTTTTGCGAGGCAGTTAGGTGTCCCTGTGGTTTTATCACGGCCGTTTACGAATCATTGCTGCATGTTTACAGTACAATGACTGTTTTCGTGCTGCAAAATGCCTTTTAAACGCAAGAGTGAGTACAATCGGCGTGATCGCATCGGAGCAACGCATCAGCAAATTTTCATCGAGGCATTACTCTCCTTGTAACAAGTACCCTGCCTGACTCCAGTGCAAGCCACAGTTTGCTTAACACCTTTTGCCAGACATTTTGACCCTTTACGGAGTATTTCGGCCCCGTGATGAGCATTTGGACCCTTTGGCAAGCAGCGCCATCTCGCCTGTCGGGGCGGGGGGGGGGGGGGGCGATTGCCGGCGTCTCCCAGGGAGGGGGTCGATTTCTTACGCCTCCCGGGGCGGGTGGCGATTGCCGACGCCCTCCCCGTGCTTCAGGTCTCAGTCGTTCCGCACCACGTCCAGCAGCGTGAGGTCCAGCAGTCTGAGGAATGTCGGCACTTCCCTGTCGGCCAACCCCCTTATCCCTATCGACATGGAGAACGACCAGTGCGGTGAGAACCAGACGTACTGTGCCGAAGGCCGAGCGGCAATGGTTTAGTGTAGCGCGGTGAGCGTCTGGTATATTGTGGTAAGGGGCTTGTATACTGTGGTGAAGGCCAGGTGAGGTGTAGTGCGTTGATGAGCTCTCGTACTGTGATGAGGGCCAGGCGCGGTGTGGTGCGAGGATGAGGTGGAGTTCATGAGCATCTTACGTACCACTAGTGCCTGGGAGGCGTGAGCTCCGATTTCGCGATAGCGACAAACGTTAAGTACTGCTGACGAGTGGCATGTTCAGGAGAGCTAGCACGTGAGCCGTGCACCTGATGAGATACTGCACAAAGACGATGACTCCATGGGTTGCGATCCCGCTTCCCTGCGACAGTGTGCATCAACCGCTGCCCCTACATGCGCCCAACACAATTATACCCAATGCAAGACAAAGCATGGGACCGAAGTCGCGTCGACGCCGTCTGTGATGATGTGCTGTAGATGTCAACATGGGAGGAACTGAATACCGAAGCTGTCCGATATCCCATGTTCAAATATTTGGCATACTGAATTAACAGTTTTGACTTAGCGAAAGATATTGCACAGTGCTGGGTATCGAACTGAGGTAGTATTTGCCATTTTTGGTTATATCTGAATGTGCGAACACTTGGGTTTTCACCTGCAATTACCAGAACCAGTAACACTTCTTACGCGGTTGTTGAAGCGTCTAAGACATGTCAAATCCTGTCCGGTTGCAGAGTGGATTTGCGTGATACACTCACCACCGAGTCCTCTAGCAAAATGAGCTCTCCGTTGCACGTCTCACCATCCTGTCTTCTCTCGAAGAGCGGACTTCCCTGTCGTGTATAATCACCCTGTCCTGTTGCAAGATGGTTCCTCCTGATGCATGCCTCACTGCCCTGCCCTGTTCCAGGACGGACCCTGCACACGTCTCACACGCCTCGCTGTCCTCGCAACTTTGCACAGCGGGCTCCCGTGTCTCACGTCCACCCCGTGCCGTTGCAGAGCGGACTCCCGTGTCTCACGCGCACCCCGTGCAGCTGCAGAGTGGGCTCCCGTGTCTCACGTTCACCCGTGTCGCCGCAGAGCGGACGCCCGTGTCTCACGTCCACCCCGTGCCGTTGCAGAGCGGACGCCCGTATCGCTGTCGTTCGGCTCAGTAACGCTGACATCATCCATGACGCCGCGCTCGCCGCCGTCGCTGACGGACCACGACACGGGCGAGCTGGACACCACGTCACGAGGCGAGGCCACCACGTCAGCCGCCTCGTCGCTGCCGGCGGCGCGGCCCGGCCATCTCTCGCCCGACAGCGAGCTCTCGAGCGCGCCGACCGACTCGTTCGGGCCGGCGGCGCGGCGGCCCGCTTCTCGGCTCTCGCGCAGCAGCCCCAGCCTCTCGGAGACGCCAGAGGAGTCGGAGCGTGCGGGCGCCGGGCGCCGGCTGCCCTGCCGGCGCCAGCTCAGCCGCGACTCCTCCAGCCTCAGCTCGGTGGTCGAGATCAACACGGTGATCGACCGGCGCCAGCTGCTCGACGACACGGTGTCGCACGACTCGTACGACCTGCTGGAGCCGGGCCTGCGGCCGGCCGACTGGGGCCTGCCCGGCGCAGACGACGACGACGACGAGGAGCCGGACGAGGAGCGCGGCGAGGCGGTCGGCTCGCGCGGCGAGGTCAACCTGATCCCGTACGGCACGGGACCGTGGTCGGCGTCGCCGGGCGGCTGCCGGCCGGTGCTGGTGCCCGGCGACGACGGCTGCCAGGGGCCGCTCATCCTGCCGCCGGAGCCGTTCAACACGTACCGGCTGGAGGGCGTGAAGACGCTGCCGCGCGCCGCCGGCCGTTCGGCGACAGCCGCCGCGCTCAGCGCGCTGCAGTGGCGCTCCAGCGAGCGGTTAGCGGACGCGCCGTCGTCGCCGCGCGCCGCCGCCGACGGCCAGCCGGCGTCGGGCGGCTGCTTCTCGCCTGAGTCGCCCAGCTCGGAACACGGCGAGTACCAGCTGGCCGCGGAGACCGGCCAGGAGGAGTGGCTGCAGGTGCGCTCTGTGCCCGGCACCCTGGAGCGCGTGGTGCTGCAGCGGCTGGCCGAGCGGCGCACCGGCCCGCTGTTGCCGCCGCCGCTGCTGCTGCCGCCGCCCGAGCCCGTGCCGCCGCCGCCGGCCAGCGGGCCCTCGTCGCCACGGCTGCCGGTGCCGGCGCCGACCCAGTCCAACGACCTGGGCGTGTCGCGGCCGAGCCGGACCGGCGAGGAAGGCAGCGACGCGTCGTCGCCGCCGCGGCCCGAGCCCGACGAGGAGCCGTCGACACTGTCCGAGTCGTCGCAGACGACGGGCGAGGAGTCGACACTTCAGTACGACACAGTACCGGACGAGTCGCAGGAGCTAGAGGCGCCGCCCGAATTTTCAGACCCACCACCGCCGCTGCCACCGGCGCTGGCACGGCTCGCCTTCGGCCGACGCAGCTCGGCGCCGCCGCCCTGCGGCAGCCTACGCCAGCTGACCGAGGAGGAGGAGGAAGACGAGGAAGACAGCGAGTCTTCCACCGAAGACGGCGGCCAGGAGACACCGTCGGGCGAGGACGCTGACTTCCCGTCGCCGCCCAGCTCGCTGCTCGACCCGCTGCGGCCGGCCGCGCTCGGGCAGCCCGTGTGCCGACTGCAGCGCCGCCTGCCGGTGGCCGAGGCGGCGCCGCCGCAACGCGTGCTGCTCGCCGCCGACTCGGACTCGTCCGAGTCGGAGCGCGCCGAGACGGGCGGCGCCGACTCGGAGCCGGACGCGCCGCTCGAGGAGCTGCCCGGCGACGCCGAGCAGCTCGGCCGGCCGTCCGTCTCGCGCGCCTGCGCCGCCGCCTCGCCGCCTGGGGCGCACGTGTGACTCGCTCGGGCCGCGGAGCGCCAGACGCGCCCGCCCGCGCGGTGTTGATAAACGGGAGTTCTCGTTCGCAGACGGCATTTGCACATTAGTGGAGGCCGCAGAGCCTCGTCGGTCTCACCGTCAGAGCGGCAGCCGCGGGGTCGCATACGGCGGATGCGAGTCCTCAATTTGGTGCTGAACATGCAACGTTAAGTATCCTTATCTTCACTTCTCCGCATGTGCTTTGCATTTTGGTACATATATTTTGCGCGGATGGAACTATTTGTACCCTTCTTCTCCGCATGAGTGCGAACGTTCAACAACGACCGCGTATTGCTCAAGTGTGTTCAGGCCGCGGGCCGTTGTGCCGAACCGTGCCGTGGCGCAGTGGCGCGTGCTGATGATGCACCTATATGGGCCGAGCGACAGCACGAGGGTACTGTTCACGTCGCCCTCAAAGTAATCGACATTAAACTTAGACAAGGCCTGTGTGCCAGGACCACACTGTGTTGCGCAGCGAGGCGCACGGATGGTCTGCTTGCTGTCGGGTCTGTTCAGCGGGTTTGTGTCGCGTTGGGTCTGCTCAGCAGGTCCGCGTCGCGTCGGGTCTGCTCCGCGAGTCTGCGCCACGTTTGGTCTGCCCCGCGAATCTGCGTCGCGTCGCGTCCGCTGCGGGTCTGCTCCGCGGGTAGCGGTGCAATCCTCACTTCGGGTTTAACGTCGCGTGCGCGAGCGGCCTGCGGCCCGCGCGAGCCCGCTCTCGCGCATAATGTCTGTGTGGTGGAGCCGTCTCTCGGCGCTGCGGTGCCCCGTCACCAGTCGGGGGACGGCCCACCACCCCGGGACCGGCGCCGGCTCGCCCGTCTGGCATGAGGGCCCGACCGGTGCTCCAGATCGGGTCACATGGGTGTCGGTGCTGCCAATGGGGGAGGGTTGACCAAGGTCGCATGTTTCAGGGACGAAGACCGGCCCAAGCCGGTGGTGACGATGGCTGCAGTGGTCACTATATTTGCGCTGTTCTCTCCATACCCCCGCTGGGACAAACTCCTGAGGTGCCCGTCGTTAACTGAGCCACTGTTCATTTAAGCTTTGGGGCACGAGCGGTTTCTCCAGCATTGCTCCAGCCGCGGGGGTCGTCCCACGCACACAGCTAGCTACCTCGCCTTCTGGTTTCTCACTCGCAATCTCCAATCACGTCTCGAAAACGTCTCGAAACATGACGGCGCGAACGGAAACACACTCCACCACGGCGGATGGCATGGTGCGGTAACATCACTCGCGGTGAGGGGTACACGAGTCCAGCCGCCCGTCTCTGGTCCAGCGGTCAGGACGAGGGAGCGCCAGGCCACGAGCACGCCGACAGATGCCACCGTGCGGAATTCGTTTGTGAGATCATCGCCCAATGTAACTTGCACAGAGACCCGTGATGGACGTCTGGCGCTTATTTCGATGGGAAGGGCCCGTTTATGGGAGCAGTCGGGTGCGGCTTTACACTTAGATCGGCGCGACCTCTCAGAAAAAGCCTACCATGACCTGCCGTGGAGACGGTGTTCGCAGCCGATGGGAGGGCAGACTCGCGCCGAGCCTCGTGCCCACGTGTAGAGCTGATTTAGCCGGAGAGCGCCGTTATATTCAGCGGAGCATGTCAAATGCCGGTACTTGCTTGTTTCGCCAGACGTGTTGTGCACGGCAAGGCTCAATATACGTGTGACTTGACCACAGACCGATCTTGATCTTAAACAGTGGGGCCGCTGTCCATCTAGGTGTCGACGCTCGGTTATCTATCAATGACAAACACTGACATTCATGTGTTGCCAACAAGTCTGCAACCAAACATTTCATCCGGCACGTCGTCATCAGCATGGGTAAAATTAACATTTCGTTCTGGAATTTTTTGAGACCTAAGATGACGTCTTGCAGTTGGCTGTGTTCGATCCACGTGTAACGCTACGAGTTTTGTTTGAGAACATTGCCACATGAAACCTTTACTTCGCCGGCAGCACAAAAAGTACGACATAGTGAAGCATCCACACGACTTTTAAATGCTCCCATACACATCCAGCCGCATCTTTATTTCAGCAACGGCTAAAACAACACTGCACCATCAACCCATCCCACACATTCGACAAGATATGAGATGTTCATCAAGTGGCGACTCCAAGTGCTATGAGCTGGGTGCGCAGCGGTCTCTTGGGGGGGGCATAGCGCACTGCGCGGCTCGCCCCCAGACACCCGGCCGGGCTGGCGGACAGCGCAGGTCCAGAGAGTCATACATACGGCATCAATATGGTGAAAACAATGTGAGCGGTTACAATATAGAATCAGTGCTGGCGCCCAGACCAGCGAGTCCACCATATTCGCCACGGTCGGAGGTCTCGAGGGTCACGCGCTACCTAAGCAAGCCCACGCGTCTGTAACAGATACTCGCACGGAGTCTGGTTTCGAAAACATCTAGTTCAGCTCCACTTCACCAGCAAATTGCCAGGCTTTGGAACACGTACGTCAAATTATGAACAGTAGGTGGAGCCAGCTGTTTAACTAATGAAACTAGCACACGGTCCGGTATAATTGGCGGTGAACAAAAGAAGCGTGCAATATTCAGGTGCATCGCCCACTGACTGACGTCCGCAAGAACCGACCGCTGCGGGAGATTACGAGGCCTTCTCGACGGGCTTGAAGTAGGAGCTGACGGTCGGCTGGGAGTCAGCACCTATTGGTCGAGCCAGCTGCCCAAGCCCCGCCTCCTCGACGTTCGATCCAACCAGCGCCACGCTGCACGCCAGGATGACGTCATCGGTTTTCAGATGTTGGAACTGACCACCTGAGGTATACACACCAGTTAAATCTCGCGCCAGAGCCGGGATTCCGTCTTCCGACGTGTGCTCAGTGTGTCGTTGGTCGCCATGTCCACACTGTTCCCGCCTTTTTCGGCGTTCAAAACACGACAAAATACAATTACATTATACCACCGATGTACAAAACGAGTAGAACAGGTGTAGGCTTATAAGAAAGCCTTTTTAAGACAACCCACGAAAGTGGCTAGGCCCCTGAACATAAATTAAAACATGGGGTTGCCCCGGTTAGAAAGCAATGTGTATCGCATCAGTGCTGACGTGGCCACCGAGGAAGCCACGTCCAGAGCGGCGGGCTGGGCGGAATAGCATACAGCTAGGGATACTGTCATGGACTCAAACCTGGCACAACACAACGCTGACATCGGGCGGTGCAAACCAAAAGCAGCATATACCACCGAACTTTCGACAACTGTGTGGCACAAGAGAGGCACATACACAAATTTATAAGCTGATACAAAAACGCTAGGGCTATCCTCAGAGATAATTAATTACTCGATGCCTGATTTGTTTTTGTAATTTAATTGTGGATCACTGAATAAATACGGTACGGTATAAATATTTCAAATGGGTGGCGGCAGCAGAGGTGATGCGTTGCACGCTGCCTAACCTTTACGCCCGACCGAGACAGCCGCAGCAAAGCGTGATACCCGCCGGAGCATTTCAAAGTGACCGCAGGGTTCAAGACAGGCCACTACGCCTAAATGTACCTACACATCTGGCATGCTTCTGATCTGGGAGTTGTTCCCCCCCCCCCCCCCCTTACTTCCACCCACGGGGCCTCAGTACACCAGGACCCTACGCGATCTCTGCCCCCCGTACCAGTGGACTGCCTCTGCTGGCGCGGTGTGCAGTGACACCCGCCCTCCCCACCCAACAGGTGGGTGTGAAGGGGGGGGGGGGGGGCAGGGACGCCTCCGCCTCCGCCGGGAACGTACCGCCATCTGCCGGGTCCCGCGTGACGTCAGCACCCGGCTCCAGCACGAACTCGGCCGGCGCCGCGCACCGCTTGAACACATACCTGCGGCGGGAGCACGTCCCGAGGGTCCTCAGTCGGTGACGTCAACAAGCCAACAGGCGGTGACGTCAACAGGCCAACAGGCGGTGACGTCACGCTCGCAGAGCACGACAGACAACCACGCCATCCCTTGTTACCAGCCGCGGCGCAACACGGGTGCCCCCAGCACCACCCCGGAACGCTCACATGGGATTGACGCAGGACTGCCGACTGGATGACTGAACACCCTGCAAGCGATGTGTCAAGTGAAATTGATGAAACGAACGACGCAGCCAGGACGCCAGCAACTCACGCCACTTTGAGCGCACCACTCTGGCGCACTGTGGCGTCCCTCGAGTTCAGCAAGCCCTCCAGCTGGTCCGGGTACTGGCGCACCAGCCGATATAGCGCCACCGCCTCCAGCAGCACACGTCGCAGGTCCTGCAGCGCAGGCAGAGCGCCGTCAACAGCGACCCCGCGGGGTCGACTGCGGCAGCGGGGCCGGCGAGCTGGACACAGGGCCCGCCCGGTGAGAGGCCCGAGGGTCGCGGGGGACGCGGCTCAGCAGAGGCCACGACGGGCGCGGGCGGGCTCTGAAGACGGCGCGCCGGCGTGAGATCGGGGCTGACGCCAGCGTCCATACGTCCGACGCGGGAAGTCACGGGCGGAGCGCGGCCGTCACGGCACAGCCAGTCTCTGAAGCGGTCACTGGCGCCGCGGCTGGTCAGAAGACGCCATCAGACCGGGCATCATCCGTCGAAACACGAGGCGGTGGGCATTTGATCGCCAGGCCCAGGGCGAGAGCCGTAAACATAACCAGCGACGGTCTATATATATATATATATATATATATATATATATATATATATATATATATTATTGTGCTAGACCGTCGCCGACTATGCTCACGGCTCGCGACTTAACTTATCTTTGAGCGCGACTACTGTTCAGTTTAGTTGCGAAAAAAGGTGGTATTCGGGTTCTCTTAAAATGCAGCGTTTATTCCATCACAGCTTTGGCAACTTGTACCATAAGCTCAACTACGAGCGCACGCAGCGTGCTGCTCTCTAAAATGAATGTCATTGTAACTTTTACTACATCAGTGGTCGCACACTACTCCTACATCAAAGCCCGGCAGCAGTCGTGTCTTGCGAGGATGGGGCTGGGAGTGGGAGAGTGGGTGCCAACGCGTCCTGTCTGGACCTGGGTGAGTGCGGACAGAGCTGTCCCCGTCCCGCCACGGACCGGCCGCCCGCCCGCCAGGATTTGGTCCAGGATGAATCATCACGAGATGGACCTTCATGCCACATTGTCGTCGCCCATGCAGGTGGAGATCAAGGTCAGTGAAAGCTTGCTGGGCTGGTGCAGCGGCATCTGACATCAGTTGCGGTATGGTGATATGACAGTGCCAATGACAGCGCAACAGAAACCCGACTCATGATGATTATACCACTGCTCTTGAGCACGGGGAAATCCATGTTCATGACACGAGCCTAGCCGATCTGCAAAGCACGATGGATTTAAACGATGTTTCTATTCGTTTCCTTAATTTATATAATGCCAAACGTTTGAGGCCATATCAACGCAGAGTTTCTCACCAGATGATGCTTAGGCTGGAACCATCTTCTCGTAACAGAACACTTGGTGCCATTAAATATCTTGCATTTTACAAAGCAAAGCTCAGCCTTGACAAAACAAGTATCGTTTATCTGAAAAAGAAATAGTAGCTCGTATGATTACGACATACGGCCACGACAACCGTCTAAGGGTTTGGATAGAAACTAAAATCAAGGACTGCCACATATGGGCACAATCATATGTCAGGAACACCGACCCAGGATTTTCTGAAGCAAGTTGAAACCAGACCTCATCACACCAGGCCAGTTTACGGAGAAAGCGCACATTCAAAACAAAACTTGTGCTGTATTTAAACAGAGCAAGTATGTCTGCCCTCGGTGAGACTTCATGCACGCTGCCATGATAATTCGAGGAGTCTTTTCTTTTATCGATAACACGTTTTCCTTTTAAACGGGACATGCCACCCTTTTGAGCACATTGCAAAGGAACACCCGGATGAAACCTACTGATCGCCTATGTGTAATAACATCACTGGGGAGCGGGCGCGCAGCGAGAGCTTTGGCAAGGGGGGGGGGGGCAAAGGGGTAACAAAGGGCCCCCTGATGGAAACATTTTCCCCAAATCGTCGGACATGGCCCATTTGTCAATGATGGCATGCTCTTCTTTGACATTTTTCATCGGCTCCCTCTTGAACTGGAATAGAAGCCAGAACCTACCGCGAAATCAATGCTGCTTGAAGTTTAGTCCAATACACTGAAAAAATGAAACGGTTACACGACTGCATGAAATAAATTGCCGCCGCTCTCCATTTTCTAGTGGTTCAGTGGACCCTTTTTGAACCGACAGAACTCAGAAACTTAGGCAAAATTTCTATCTGAGTTCTACACAGATATCTAAGACTCCGCGAATGTATCTTGAATATCAAAACGGGTCAACAATTTGTATGAACGTGGCCAAGCCATTTTTGTTTGTAAATAAGCAACAGGCAGTCAGTAGTGATTTGTGACACGACTTAAGTAACGTAGTTTTGAGCATGCGCGCTCGCACACCTTAGCAAGAAAAACCTCGACCCACCGGCGTTATGGTCTCCATAGGCCGCGCAGCGTCGGCCCCATGGCAACACTAAGTCGTGGCCGTGGCTAACAGGTGGGCGAAAACGACGACACTTCGGAAAGAAGTGCCTTTGAACGTTTTAGGACTTAAAATCGTACATTTAGACGATATTTCGAGCGCATATTTTACCTGTCCGATTTTTAGATCGATGATACTAACGGATTAGCCTTTACGACACCGCAAACTGGCGCTGGAATTTCGTGGTGGAACTGAAAGAGTGAAGGCAGAACCGCTATTTATCGTGCTAGGACATTCAGAGTGTTATTTCATGACGATCGTTCTTCACCCACGGCGCCCCCCCCCCCCCCTCCCCGTCTGGGGTTACTTGCAGTGGCTTATGCCGTTCGGTTTTACGGCAGCTGCAACCCAGGCCATCGCTGTTCTTGCTCCCGAGATCACAAGTGCGCGGCTCAAACATTTTGATATAAGTTGTTTCAATAGTAAATTACGCAAAGAGAATGGAAGTTCTCATGCAAATATGGGATGGCCTAATGCGTTTTTTGAACTCATTTCGACACAGCTGTTCAACGCTAATGAGACCCCTTATTTTCGGGAAAGGACCCCCTTGAGTAAAACACTACGGGGCACATTAAAGTTCCGGTTAAGGGCTGAAGGCTGATTCTGTCCCATCGCTGTGCGTCTTCCGGCTGTCATTCTGGCGACACGGAGCGGGATCCCTTGGCGATCCGGAGGCCATTGGGGGGCATTGGAGAACATTAGAGGACATCATATCACATTGGTCCACTCCTTAACGCGGGAGGCCTTCTGACCCGCGCAGTTGACCCCGGATCCACGTAGGAAACCTCATTCCCGCCACAACATCCCTGATCGCTGCAGTTGGTCAAATAATTGGCACACAGACATCAGTTCGGCTTCACGGGCCCACGACCGAATCGGGCTGGAGGACCCACAGTTCGGTACTGGGGGCCCTGCCCCGACTGGCACAGGACCCTTCCACTGCCTCAATGTGAGCACGCATCATGTCATCATGCTTCCTCTCATTGTCAGAGGGCTCCGACCAACCCAAGAGGCCCCCTGTCATTAGGGGGCCGCCCCTGTCCCTGTTGAGCAAACCTTCTCCCGACAGACTCGAGGCCCCTTGTTGGCACAAAATAAATAGCCCGTTAGGCACTGTGGACCACTGAACGATACACGGGCCCCGACCAGTATAATTCACGGGCCCCCAGAGGTCAGAACAACACGAAGCCGGATGTTCGTCATTGGCGATCTCTGGCCGAAATACGGGAGCGCTCTTTCTTCGGGGTCCCAATCGGCACAAAGAGTGCTCTGACATTTGACATCATGGCCCTGCGGGCGGGGGTCCTTAATGTGGCCTACATCCAGCCCTTCGGACTCTTCAGCCTTCCAAATGAGTCCTTGATCTTTGGTCTCGAGAGACCTTTTCGTCCCCTTTTCGCCTGCCCCCCCCCCCCCTCCCGCGCTCAAACATCGCTCTGACCCGGGACCACTTGCCGCCACAGGATCCCTGTCAGGTACTGTGGTACTTTACCCTCAAAGAGCCTTTTACTGTGTCAGGGACCCCGAACATTGCACGTCACGGACCCCAGTCTCCTTCCTGCTTGGGAAATAGGTCTCGGACGGACATGGAGCCGACTGTTCGGTGTTCGTGATTTCTGGCTGACTTACCCGCATTGTCTAAGACGTTCCTCAAACGGTGCAAGAGAACCTCTGACTAATATTCAAGATCACGACCCTACGGGTCGCAATTTGTTGTGATCTACAGCCAGTCATTCGGGCCCTTATGCCCTCCAACCGGGCCTTTGATCGTCGGTTCTGGTGGGCCGCGCGGGCCTCTCTTCGGGGCCTCATCGAGCACTTGCCTTGATCAGCTCAGGGCCCCTTGCAAGCAGAGGACCCTCTGCTAGGCGCTGTTGGTCCTTGACAGATACAAGGTCCCAAATCAGTGTAAATCACTGGCCCTGGTTTTATAGCTGAATGGGAATTGGGCCCTCAGGCCCATATCGGCACGGAGCCGACTGTGTGGAACTGTTGGTGCCTGTCAGTCATATAAGCCCATATCGACTCAGGAGGTCCCCAATCAGCGCAAAAGGCCCTCTAGCTGCTATCCGAGGGCCCGTCCCAGTAGGCGGGGCCCCTGAATGAGACTCCGACCAGTCCGTCATGCCCTTAGACCCTCGGATCTCGCTGATCGTCGGAGTCGGCGGTCCTTCTAGACTCGCCGGGCCTCCTCAAACATTGCCTCTGGCCGATTCGGGGCTGCTTGCCAACACGGAGCTTTATCAGGCGCTTTGGGGCGCCTGATAAAGATT